AAAGAAGACGACTTTGCTTCTCATATTGTTCAAGGCTTGAGGTATATTTCATTGTCTAAAAGGGTTAAACTGTGAGAACAAAATTGGTTAATTCTGTAAACATATTTGTTACTTCAAAGGATAAGTCTGGTTGCACAAAGTGTGTTTGAAATGGCCAGTAAGAGTCGATAAATATTCGCAGACGATTTCTTGAGTTGGACATCCGGTGCAAAGCGATATATATGGCTTAAGACCGGAAACACATTATTCTATAATATTCGGTCACCTCGCGTTTCGTTCGACCTACAAATTCTCACGCTTATATAAATATCTGCAGCTATTACGTTCGTCACAATGTAAGTGCATCAGGAGATTCTTATCAGCAGTAATATTATTCAAACACTCTGTGTACAGTTCTACAAATAAACACAACGAATCAAGTATAAAACTCTTGTATCCATGTTAAACAGAGTTTCTCGATTCATACGAGACATCTACCGGTCATAAAATTAAATACGGAAATTTAAGAAATCTAATAATTCTTATTGTCACGTTGTTATCAGTAACTGAATACATTTTAGTAAAAGTTTACTCGCAATAATGAACTTATGTTATAAACCAGGAAACATAGTGGAAGCAGTTTCTCGTCGTGAATCCATGCACTAAAATCAAATAATTACGTTTGTGTAAGTAGGGTTATGTATCGCTCAATTCCTAAACAAATTTTTGTTGATTGTGGTGCCTCCTGTTGGGAAAAATTCCCGTTGTCATGATTATTACGAATACTACCACTAAATATTAAGTTAAGACACTTTTAAGGAAATGTGACAGTGAAAAATTGCTTAGAAATAGGTTTCGTCTTATATAAAAAAATCTAGGTTATGTATTGTAATTCTATATTTGTTGCAAGCACTGAAGGAATTAGAACCAGTGATCTAGAATAATCATTGTAATAAAGTGAGGCTGTCCCTACCAGAATTCTATGACGACGTTCATATTTCTCTATCGTTCGTCCTGAATCACTTCACTGATTCTTGATTCCTACGCACTATAGTCAAGCTGTATCAACTATAAACATTACATAGGATCGAATTAGATGGAAAGATACTTTAATAGACTTTGCAGAGGAGTTATTTCACAGATAACACCTTACCGATGATATAATGATCAGGTGGCACCCATTTAGAAGTCCGCCACACCCTGACTGAGGTTTATCGTGATTTTCCTCAGTTTTAAAGCAAATATCAGGATATAATTCAAAAGGGGTACGGCCCGCAGGGGTATTAAAAAAACTTATTTGCTTTCTCAAAAGTTCGATTTACTGAGAAATTCATAAAATATAAAAAAAAATTAAAGTTTGTCCACCCTACGCGCCATATAGGTACCACGGGGAGAGGTAGTGTAGCTCCTACTAGTTCTTAACCTCGGCGCTAGATGGGGTGAGTGGTCAGCGTCACGCTTCGGGGGTAAGGACCCTGGTACCCATTGGGCAGGAGATTGGGCGGGTCTCAGAGCAGAGGCTAGAGGAAAAATCCTATGCCCTCGTCGAGGATCGAACCCCCGGTCATCCAGTCCATAGTAAGTCACTGTACTGACTTAGATTCATAAAATATGCAAATTTTTTAAGAAGGTCCAGAGGACGTACTTACGTTGTGAACTAGAGCGACGTATAATATTCTCCAGGAACGTGTTCTGAGGGGCGACAAGACCTCGCCGTCCACCCGGCATACTGATTGTGACGTCTAAGTAGGACCAGCGTCGCCTTCGTCAACTTTATTACATGAGGCACTCGGTCACACTAACCACAATCACACGCAAGGAATAACTGCAGTGCATAATTTTCGTATTAACACTTTCCCTAACGGAAATGAATACTGTTCGTTGATACAATTTTATTAAAAATAACAACATCACACCATTAAATAATATTATGATACTCTCGTCGGAGAATTAACATCCCTGGCACAGTGTGTGACGAAAGGTTCGTGTCTAGAATTATTATTAGTTTATAAGTACTTACGAGTACTTCTGGAATCATGCCAGTTATATTACGCTTTTAAGTTTTCTTTGATGCCTGAAAATATAATTTGTCGTAGTTGTTATTACCCACAGTCCAAATGTTGCTGTCCTTCTCGTTTTAGCTGTTGTCGTAACAACATTTCGACAGTTTTGATTAAACAATTCGGAAATATCCCGGACCGGATTATTTTCACAGATATTTACCGCCACTTTCACGTTCCATGATGAAAAAGATGGAGTCGATCTGGTTGTGATGAAATCTGCAAAACAAAAAAAATTTACAATGAAATATTCATAAAATTAGACAATTCACACACGTCATCACGGAGGATTCCCTCTTCCAGATAACCATGACAGACATGGAAAGACTTCTCTCTGCCGTGTCGAGACGAGATCAAGAAAGTATCCGTGTTCTCGTGTAAAGAGGTTATTTAAGAAGTCCCAGTGACAATTTATCATTAGGTTCTCCACTATAAAATTTCACCAAAAGGGGTCTGTCCTTTCTCAAGTTGTTTCGTGGGTACAGGCGGATTGACATCAAGAGATTTTATAAGGCGATCTGCAGGGTTGCAAACGCAACTAACAAGTATTTTGCATCTTGTGGAACCTATCTTGAGGCATAATAGTTCAGTCTACAGCTTTCCACATGTAACTACACATACATATATACGAGGGTCGCTCATTAAGTAATGCCCCACATTTTTTTTCTCAGCCAATAATGAAGATAGAAAAGTGTACTTTTACATGCTTGAGATTTGATGTTTCCCGCGTTCGTGTACGGAGTTTCAAATGATTCCAACCGATAGCGGAGCTGTAGTGAACTGTTAAAATGGCGTCTGTGAACGACTCTCGTTACAAACAACGAGCTGTAATTGAATTCTTTGTTGCTGAAAAAGAAACGGTGGTGAACATTCATAAACGTTGGTGTGCTGTGTATGGAAGCTGTGCAGTCGATAGGAGCACCGTTGGTCGCTGGGCTAAGAGAGTTAAAGCTTCAGGAAGTG